TTTTTTTTTTTTTTAATGTTACTTTTGAGAGAGAGGGGGGAGACAGAGGATCTGAAGCAGGCTCCGTCCTGTAATGACAGAGCCCAACGAGGGGCTCGAATCCACAAACCATGAGATGATAACCTGAGCCAAAGTCATATGCCTAACCGACTGAGCCACCCAGGTGCCCCAGTAGTTACCTTAGTTTTAATGTAAATAATAGCTCTTTTATTTTTTTTTAATATTTTTTTAATGTTTATTTTTGAGAGAGAGAGATCCACGGAGAGAGAGAGGGGAGGGAGACACAGAATCTGAAACAGGCTCCAGGCTTCGAGCTGTCAGCACAGAGCCTGATGCCAGGCTCAAACCCACAAACTGAGAGATTGTGACCTGAGCCGGTTAGATGCTTAACCAGCTGAGCCACCCAGGTGCCCCATAAATATAGCTCTTTATATTCCTGTTTCCTTTACTAAATTGGGCTCCTCCAAGCTAGAAACTGTGTTCTCTTCTATAGGTGCCTGAGGATACACATTAAGTGACCACATGTTGAGTGACTGAAGTATAGAATATTGGTGAAGGAGGTGTGTAGAACGAGGGTCCAAATGAGGATCCTCGGCCATACTAAGTAAAAGGTGTGAAGTTTCTTGTGGTTGGTAAGCGGTAAAGCATTTTTAGGGACTAAATGTCCTACTGGATTTGAGCTTTCAGGAAGATCAGTATGGTAGCCCTGAGAAAGGAGGAGTGGAGAAACCAGAGGTATGTTTACAACTGTAGGTAGTTACCGTTTGGGTTATGGATGTGGGCAGTCAGATAATGAAGCTAGTCAAGAACTGGGGAGTGGTTGCAGAGTGCAGAGAGCCAGGGTAAACACCTGGTAAAGGGCCTAAGAAGACAGGTGGCAGGTGGAGGAGCCTGTTGAGGTGAAATGAAGTTCAGTTTCAAGTAGAGAGGAGATGGTCTTAGTATTGTTTCAAAGGGTGAGTTCGTTAAGAAGTAGAACAAATCTTGATACTCTAGGTCATCCTAGATTGGGGTGTTGGTGGGGAGCAAACTCCTAGGGGCAGTGTTTTTGAAATGTTTTAGAGATAACTGTGGTTTTATATTTATGTTGCGTGTATTATGTTCCTGTCATGTTCTAAATTTTACTAGTGGATAGGAATTTTTTTTTTTTTAATGTTTATTTATTCTTGAGAGAGGGAGCATGAGCAGGGGAGGGGCAGAGAGAGAAGGACAGAGTCTGAAGCAGGCTCCAGGCTCTGAGCTGTCAGCACAGAGCCCTACGTGGGGTTCGAACTCACGACCCATGAGGCCATGACCTGAGCCGAAATCAGGGGCTTAACTGACTGAGCCACGCAGGTGCCCCTGATAGGGATTTTTTTTTTTTTTAATCTATTTTGCCAGAGAGAGTGCTCACCTCTGCTCTCTCCTCTGTCTCTTGCGTGCGCACACACGCTCTCTCTCTCTCTCTCTCAAAATAGACTTTAAAAAAGAAAAAAAAAAAAGTCAGACACTTAACCAACTGAGCCCCCTGGGTGCTCCACAGATAGGAGTTTTTAAAGCTGCTTTGGAAGAGCACTGGGAATCAGAACTGGCTTCTGGTCCTGTTTGTTTACTGGCTGTGTGGCCTTGAGAAGTCAGAACTCTGAACTTTAGGTTTTTCCCTGTGTAAAATGAAGAAGGTTGAAATAAATGATTCTCAAGCTTCCTTATATGCTCTGCTCTTCTCCTTGTGATTTGGACAGTGAGCTTGTCTGCAGCAAGCCTTTAGGGTAAGGGCATTGAGAGTCTTGGGATTCTGACGGGGAGATCCCATGTGCCACCACCATTTCATAGTTCTTTTGTACAAAATATGACTTTTTTTTTGCCCCTGTCAGTGTATTGCTTTTAAATTTTTTTTTTTTTCAACGTTTATTTATTTTTGGGACAGAGAGAGACAGAGCATGAACGAGGGAGGGGCAGAGAGAGAGGGAGACACAGAATCGGAAACAGGCTCCAGGCTCCGAGCCATCAGCCCAGAGCCTGACGCGGGGCTCGAACTCACGGACCGTGAGATCGTGACCTGGCTGAAGTCGGACGCTTAACCGACTGCGCCACCCAGGCGCCCCGAGTGTATTGCTTTTAAATATGAATTTTTAAGGGGCACCTGAGTGACTCCGTCGGTTAAGCATCTATGACTTTGGCTCAGATCATGATCTCATGGTTTGTGAGTTTGAGTCCTGCAGCGGGCTCTATGCTGACAGTGTGGAGCCTGCTTCAGATTCTGTCTCTCTCTCTCTGCCTTTCCCAGATTCATGCTCATGTGTTCTCTCTCTCAGAAATAAAGTTCACAGGGTCGCCTGGGTGGCGCAGTCGGTTAAGCGTCCGACTTCAGCCAGGTCACGATCTCGCGGTCCGTGAGTTCGAGCCCCGCGTCGGGCTCTGGGCTGATGGCTCGGAGCCTGGAGCCTGTTTCCGATTCTGTGTCTCCCTCTCTCTGCCCCTCCCCCGTTCATGCTCTGTCTCTCTCTGTCCCAAAAATAAATAAACGTTGAAAAAAAAAAATTAAAAAAGAAAAGAAAGTTCGCAGAACTCAAAATATTAAGAACCTCAAATATGATTGATACCATTACAGCAGATCACTTATTAATATGTTGATGTTTTGTGTTCCTTACACCACAGAGTTTGTGATGCTTTGGATTGGTCTTTTTATTTTTTTTCTTAGATTTTATTTTTAAGTAATCTCTACACCCAACGTGGGGCTCAAACTCACAATCCCAAGATCAAGAGTCACATGCTCCACTGACTGAGCCAGCCAGGCACCTCCTTGGGGAGTCTTTACTGCTGTAAAAATGTGATTGCTGCTCTCTGTTGGGTTTGATGTTTTCCACTTCACTTTCTGTTAGAAGTTTCCCTCTCTCCCTCCCTTCCTTCCTTTCTGTTTCATTTTTCTTTTCTTCTCTTTCTTTAATGCTAGAGGGTCATTAACATCTTTGTATTGTGTTCCAGAAATGGGATTATCAGGTGAAATGGCATTGATGTTTTACGGATCTGGCTTTATGCTATATTTCTTTCTAACGAACAAAATAATTTCTACGTTTTTTTTTTTTTTTTTTTTTTTTTTTTTTTTTTT